GGGAATCTGTATGGCCTCCTCTTGACCCACTCTAATAGCTCCTTGTCTGTCTCATGCTAAGGATCCCAGACTTGGCTGCAGTACTGCAGGTGAGGTCAGAGAGCAAAAATTCTCTGTGCAGAAAGAAGCAGTCACTGATGGATGATCTTCCTGGGTGTTTCAGTGTCTTCTTTTGCTTTTATTGTTCAAGTGCTCTGTTCATCTCTGAATACATCAGAGGGTAAGAGCTGCATAATTTGATCCAGCAAGGCAGCTGGGTTTGAAAGTTTTTTGAGACACCTCCATGTATATATAATGTGCATGTTCATAAGCAATGAAGTGAATATTTGAGTTGAGATACTTTCCATCTCACACACTTTTCTCTGCATTACATGCACCTTATGCTTTCATATCCAAATTATGTTTATCTGTTAATAGATTTTTTACCATATTTCTGATCAGAATATGTGCCCTTGACAATGAGATGCTACAACAACCTGCCTGCTGCTTTTATCAGAGTTTAACCTTAAAGAATATAGTCAGATTTCCTTCCTGCTGCAGCTATACCAGATGAGTTCACCACACTTCTTGGGAGCTACTGTCCTTCCCAGTTTGCTGGTTCAGCTGCTCCTGGGAGCCATTTCTGACAAAATAAATGAGATAGACATCCAAATTTTAGGATTTTTGCAAATGTGGTTCCTTTTGAAAATGTGTGAAAACAAAATTACTTTACTGTGACATTTGTGGTCAGCATAAAGAATGGAGAAGTTTGGCACTGTTGACAAATAATGAAAACATTTAGCACAAATCAAGCAGTCAGATTCTCTATTTTTGCTATGATTTTTAGGTTACTCAGAGCATCTAATTTACTTGTTTCCTCTTCAGGAAGTTTCAGGCTTGCAGTTCCACAGACTTCAGCTTAGAACGGATTTGGCTTGAGGGTGTTATGAAGCAAAAAAGTGGAAGGAAGTAATACAGAGCTCAGGATCGCATTGCTCTCAGGAGTATCTTCAGCCATGTTTTCCAATGGCTACTGTGCTGTTATTTTCTACATTGAGATTTTCTGGATATCAACTGATCTAAAGTAGTTGAAGAAGGTGATTCAAAAATTGTCTGATTTAGTTTTAAGAGCACAGAAATTAGAGTATGTGTGAGCTCAGCTTTACTGTGATGCATTACAGATCTGAAGTGAAATCCTGTCATCAGAAAAACATGTTGGGCAAAGCTGGAATGCAATGCTTGAAAATTAAGAAAGATGAGACTAATTTATTTGGCTGTAAATGACTGGCTCAGTAGGAGCATGAAACTTTTTAATCTTCAGGATGTTATGCATTAAAGTTGTTTAATGCTGAAAGCTAACTGGCAAAATATTAGTCATGATTCAGGTGTATTGCAGTCTTGGACATTCAGAAACCAGGATGAGATCTAATGTAAAGGGTATTCTAGCCCAGATTTTCCCTATAAAGTTTTTAATATTTCTCTCTAATATCTGTGATAATCATCACTGGACAAGATCAAGACTTGGCTGGAGCTCCTCAAGGCGTCATCCTGTCTGGCAGGTTAATGTTTGTAGTAATTCAGTATCCTCTGAAGTGCTCTTTTTTACCCTGTGCTGTTAGTATGGATTTCCCTTTCCAACAGCTCTTTTGTCAGCTGTTATCCATCCTATATTCAGCACATGGAGTTTGTAACAGGTCCTTGGAAAAAACCAGAAACCCCAAAACCCTCTAGAGGGAAATTTCTGAGCGTTGACACAAAATTCCATGTACAACACTGGTTCCCTTTTCACTAGGAGCCTTTTCCAAAGCAAACAGCTCGCTTTCCTGTTAACGGGAAGGTGTGAGGCTGTGGAGCTTTGGACCTGTGTGATCCCATTGCTGTCCCAAACAGCATTGCTGTTTCCTCTCTTCTTTGCTTCCTCTTTGCTTCCTGGGGCTTCATCTTCTGTCAGAGGTCCATCCTTTTTGAATGGCTCTCAAATGCTTGTTCAGGTGTCAGGAGTGAGGAAGTGGTGGATCTGGAGCCACTGCAAGCTCCAGTGGATCTAAGATCATTGATTTGAACTGCATATAGACTTTGGAGATAATACTTAGCACGTTTAGTTTTCTAAGCCAAAAAGGACTTTTTTCAGGCCATGGGAAACTATAGTGAAATCCACACAGTTTCAGTTGAGTAGAAACAAGAAAATTGTGTGTTGAGCCTTCCCCCATAATACAAGATTTCAATCTACCAGTGACCACTGTGGTTCTCTTCAGCACTTGTTGGCATATTCCAGGATGAAAGGTAGAGATCAAGGAGAAGTTGGAATTAGAGGGAATATGGCTCAAATTAATTTCTGAAATTACTGAAAGGATGAGGAATTGCAGAACAATTCTTCAGATCATTTGGATTTTGAAAAGGAGAAAACAGAAGGTTAGTGCTGGTGTTCTTTCATTTGCAAGTGTAATAAGCAGAAATTACCCAGCCAGTACTACAGAAATGTTTAGTAAGATCTAAGTTTGTTCATTCTTAAACATCACCTGCCCGTCTCACACAAATGATCTGTCTGACATAAAGTACCTTGGCTTTAACTCTTCACATGAAGCAGAAGAGAGCCTTGCAGGGGTTTCTCTTGGGTTGTTTGTGTGGGATAAATGCTATTAAATGTAAGTGTGATGTTACTATTCTGATGTTTTTGATCCATATTGCTCCTTTTCTTTGAGAATGACTGAGAGGTTACTGTCTCAAGAGTGGAGATTGAGAGACTGTGTATCACCTGTGGCTCATAGGATGTGTGGTGGCCACTGTCTTCTCCTTCAATATAGAACTCTCAGTCTCCAGATGCAGCAGCAGCCCTTCATCAGAGCAGTGGAGATGGTTAGATTTCTCACTGCACATGGGTTTTGTCTGATATCAAAGACACTTCATCTATAATGTCTAAAATGCTGTTACCTGAGCTAGGGAGTTTAGTGAGTGCAGACCCCTGATGTCCCAAGGAGTCAGCAGTTGATGTACCACTTTTCTGGAAAACTAAGGAGGTCTCCAAGAAGTCTTAATTAATATTGGGTTATATAATGACTTCTCACTTTTTTCTCAAATATGCATTCTAGAAGACTTCAGGTAATTGTTCTGGATATCAGGAAGGAGCTTGATGTTTAAACATAAAGATAATGAGATGTAGAATGAATATCATGACTTCAGGGCAGAAAACCATTTGATGATGGTAGAATGTGGCATAACTGCAGAGGGGTATGGGGAATGAGGCAAGGATAATCACTGTGTTATTTCTGCAGATTCACACAGCACAATGTCTGTCTTCATATTGCCATAGGCTGCAAGATCCATCCTTTCACACCTTTTGAACATAGGCAGGCAGATGGACATAGGCTACTTGATCCAAAAGCCTCTTCAGCCATTCTCATTAGTGTTTTGTCAATCATTCTGACTGTGGCTTTTCTCACATGTCCCCTCCCTGGATTTCAAGGTTCAGCTTGCATAACAGGTAATAGCAGGCATTTCCTCCTCCTGCGTCGGGATATCCTGGCGCCCTTCAGTCTTTCTCTGACTGTGTTTAAAACAGACTCCAGCACAGGAAAAAAAAAAAACCAAGTCTAAAATTAGCAGCCATGGTAGAAGAAGGGCCCATGGCTGTCCCCTGTGCTGTTTGTCAATGAAACAACACATCCAAACAGGGCCAGAATGCATTTCCGCTCTGGAAAAACAGACAGGTCAACTTTGGAGAGGATGGGAGAGTACAGCAGGCATCATGCCAATAGTCAAGGGAGAGCTATCCAGAAGGTATCCACAGTTACACAGACACAAAGGGACTGTAGGAAGCTTTTATGAAAGGGGCTTTTATGGCAAGGCTGCGTATCTGTCTTTTGGAAGCACTGTGGCGCTTGAGGCTCTTGCTACGCCTCAAAGATGGATCAGGTGCTTTGAGGGTTACAGAACCTCTGCTGTCTCCTCCTCTCATCTGGATTTCAGGTTCCTCATCCTTAGTGGACCTAAAAAAACCTAACTATTTTCTTGCTATGAGATTGTGAGACCGTACTTAAATGACCTAGGCCAGATTCTGAACATGCATTGGTGAAAACTTGAGGTCTCAGTAGTTTTATGCCTTTCTTAATATTCTGAGTTGTTAAAGTTGAAATTAAATAAAATGGTGCTGCTTTATTGTAATCTATTCGTCACATTAATTATATATATATATATATATATTTATATATATATATATATATAAATAAATGTTGTATTTTCAATCTGATCTTATAAGCAGTTTGAATGTTACTCCATTAATGACAGTTTCCTACATGGATAATTTATAGGATTTTACTCTTACTATAATGAATACTGAAGGTACTTTATGTAATAATGAAAGGTATTACTGCAGAATGTTTACACTTTGTTGCCACTGCTGTCAAAATGGAATTGTGATAAACCCATTTCCTCTTTTCCTCATGCAGCTCTGTTTACAGTCCATGAGAATTGCTTTGGGAATTTTATTTATAGCAGTCAGGGGTATGAATTGACTTTGGCTTTCTTTGTTGGATTGCAGATGTATCTTTTTGTCAAAATCCAGCTGGTGATCATTGAGTAAACTTCAGTTAGCTAAAATAAAATAATCATGTTTCAACAAGGCTTCAAAAATTTGCTCAGCCCTTCCGCTCTGCTTTCTCACAGTTCCTTTAGTATATTTTGCCCTGCTAAATTGTGGGATTACAACATATCCAGTTTGTTTCTCTTATGTTTGCCTTCTTAGTTTCATAGGAAATAATAAAGGCTTGGGGGTTTTTTGGTTGCCAGAAGCCTCATTATGATATATCCCAGATAAAAGTTTCTATTCATGTACTGCAGAATCTCATGGGGAGAGCTTGTCAGAGACAATGAATTTGCTTTTAGATATAAGCCTTTTTGCTATTCTATGTCACTTGAAAGATTTATAGAGTATATTATATGTATGTATATAAAGTATATAGTATTTCCAGCTGGATTTAATAGAGACTGAGCACTTTTCCATCAGTAGAAAGAAGTGGACTTACTGGCAAGTTGGAACACAGCAGCTATGGCCTCCTCCCACCACTGGGTATCCTGGGAGATGATGGGGAGTTCCATTAGCCTCAGGACAAAGAGGAGCTGGCCAGCAGTCAGAGCCACCGTGGCAATGAGGTTGCAGGCACGCATCATGTCGAACTGCACTAGGGAAACATAAGCAGCATAAAGTTACAATAATATAAAATTGTGAAAAAGAAAATCCTGACTGAGCAGGAATATAAAGTTTGTCAGTCCAATTAACAATTCTCAGACACCAGTCCCTTCTCTCAGTAGTCCTTTGTTCTGACTGCCTTCCCTGCAGTCTGATTAAGAAAGGGTTTTCTTCAGGATATATAATGATTATTTCCTTTAGTTGCACAGCATCTCATAAGTATAGCTTCAGGGTATGAAACAAGCAGCTAATTTCCCAGAATGGCCCACTGGAGATGCTGGAATTCTACCAGACTGAAGATTCTACCAGACTCATAGACAGAATTGTTTGGGGCAGGGTAGATGTTTGCTTTCTATTTGTGTGGTGCAGAGTGAAATGGAACCATAAATAGTTTCTCAAGGGCATAAAGTAATAATCATCACTAAGACAAAACAATAACACCCTGAATTTCTTTTTCCCCTAGTCCATCTGTATTGTCCTAAAAAATCATCCTGTGAATGTTAATGCTCAGGTCTTACTGGTTTACAGAAGCTTTGTATAGAGGATTCTTAAATTTTTGTTCTTTTACCATTTATTAATCTTTGGGATACACTGCGAAGACCCTTCTATTTCCATCTGTGTAATGAGGGAAATGGTTGTAATGAAGATGACAAGGCTTGGAAGTTCTGAATGAGGTGTTAGGGCATAATCTGCATGTAAAGGTAGCAGGTAAAAAGCTACCTTTTTAAAAATTGTGTGTGTGTGTATAAATACACACACAGACACACATATATATATAAGTTCATATATATCTAACAATGAAATTGTGGGAGTACGCTGTGGAGTCCACTATTGACCACTCAGCCAGGATAATGATACTGATGAATTACAGCAAAGGGAATTCAGGATATCTCTAGATCAGCTCCCCTGGACCTTACACATGATTTTAAGTTTCCAGACATCAACTGGGAATATCGTACAACAGACACAAACATGTCCAGGAAATTTCTGAATCATGTTGAAGGTAACTTTGGGTGCAGGGACTGAAGGAAGTAAAAAAAGTGCCCTCTGAGATGTGCAATTTGTAAGGAGAGACTTAAGTTATTTGTAAGTGGGTAAAGTGATGATCTCAGTGTAGGAGCCAGCAATTCTAAAGCATGGGGACTCATGCAAGCAGAGAAGAAGAAGGTTCTGGCTGAGCAGGAATCTTCTTAAAAGGAAAATGTACAGGCCAGAGACCATACTGGAACACCATGACAGGGAGGGTGATAAACTCAAAATAAAAATGACATTGATGGCAGTATACCCAGTTCCATACTGGAACACCATGACAGGGAGGGTGATAAAATAAAAATGACATTGATGGCAGTATACCCAGGGCAGGGTGACCAGGATGATGAAAGGCCTCAAGTGTAAGATACACAAGGAGTGGCTGAGATAACTTGGCCAGTTCAGCCAAGAGAAGAGAAAGCTGAGAGGTGAATACGTGTTGTATTCTGCATCTTACTTACTTACAGTGGGGAGGTGCTGATCTCTGCTGTCTATTGCCAGGACCTGAGGAAATGGCTGGAGCTGTGTCAGGGAAGGGTTGTGTTGGTTATTAGGAAAAGGTTCTTCCCCCAGAGGGTGGTTGGACACTAGAATAAGCTCCCCAGTGGTCATGTGGTCATAAGGCCAGTGGTAATGGTACCAAGGCTGCCAGAGCTGTGGTTTGTATAGGATGCTCTTAATGATACTTAGTTTAAGGTAGTCCTGCAAGGAACTGATTACAATGGTCCTTGTAGGTCCCTTCCAACCTGAGATAATCTATGATTAAAGAACAACTGCAACAATGATTACAGACACGGACATCTACAGATGTCATTGGCTAGAAACCTGATTAAAATGTGTCTCCCAGCTGGCTACTGAATGGCATATATTAACTGCAAAGTTGGGTATTTTAATCAGACTTTTTTCCTGCTTTTCCTGTTAACCTGATGGATCTCTTGTTTTTATCCTTTTCCTTCTTCTCTAGCAAAAGTTGGGAGTTACAAATGTCATTGTTCCACATCGCTTGTTAATGTGTCACTGATATTCTGAAATAGAAGTAGCACCATGTGTAAGTTGGCATATACTAGAGAATGACAGACTCTGGAGCAGATTTTTTAGTAGTGTTTTAACTGGCTTTAATTTTGGTGGATGCACTGACCACCAGAATTTGGTTCCTGATCTTCCAGGGATACTGCTAAGAAGTGCAGAAAACAAAACCTGATATAAACAAGAGTAAATTTAATTGTGTTAATCATGAAGTCTGACCTACTTTTGTGTTTACTCTTTATTTTCCCTTCACAAGCTGTCTTCAGCTTCCTATGTTCTAAGTAGCAACACATTACTTAATTAAAATTTAATAAAATATAGTATTGTATCTGAAGAGTCAGTTAAGAACCATAGTCCATTAAGCTTTTTCCACTGAATAAAATGTTAAGAAAGTAACATACTGAGGTTTTTTGGCTTCTCCTAGTGAGTTAATTTCTGACCAGTTACTGCAAAAAATTTGTTCAAAGATTTTGTGTTTAACTTCCAAAGTTTCCCTTTTAGCACTGGCAGCATTTCCAACTCTTGCCGTGTTGAATGCTCACAGGTCATGAAGCACATTGGCTAATGGAATCAGAGTCAGATGTCTGAGCGTTGTAAACACTAGTAAACTTTGAACATTCAGAGTGTTCTGTTTTTCCACTCAGATGGACTTCTGTAATACTTTGAGCTGAAGAAATAGTAGCTACTTTCAAAGGAGAAATGCCCAAAGTAAGAGCAGGCTTGCAGCCATTATTAGTACTTTCATTTACTGACAGATCCATCTGTAGTGTTAAATTTAAAAAATTGTTGCCATAATGGATTCTCTTGCCTTGTCTGTATATAGTATGCACGAGCTAAAAAAAAAAAAAAAAAATCCTCTGTATATAAATAACCTTTAAAAGTCTGAAGTTTATGCCAGAAATATATACTGGCCCCTGACACAGAAATTAATACCAAATGTTTGCTTTTGCTGCTATTTGTGACCTTTTTTAACACTTAACTGTATTACTTTAATGACTTTAAGCTTTGCCATGGATGATTTTATATTACACATACTAAAAATAGTAAGTTTCTGACTGTGACTCAGTTGAACTTCAAGCAAATTTGTTACAATTTAGTCTTTACAAAATGGTTCTTTGATCATTGTCCTCTCCTGCAGCTGGAAGTACAGTGAATGGGTAACATGATCTTTGCTGCTGTTTGTAAGAATTCCACACACAATGTTCATTGGCCTAATACACTACACTGTTCAGAGAGATGTGGAAATGCAATGAGTATTTTGCATAGCTGCTTCTGTTAACCAATGAGAAGGTTGCACATGGTCCATGGAGCTGCAGCAGGCTGATGAATGGCAGAATAAGAAGGAAGTAGCTGGTATGATTTCGTTAAATGTGAAGACAATTATTTTTATGGAATAAAGTATTACAACCTGAGTACCTTTCCATCTTTCATATGAGAGATGGTAGTTTATTCTAACAGGTTTAATGTATAATCTGTCATCTTTTGGTTTTCTTCTAGAATTGTAGTGATTCTTCTTGGGGAAAAAAGCAAACTTAGAATCATAAAATCGTTTAGTCTGAAAATGAGCCCCTAAGATCATCAAGTCAAACTGTTCACTCAGCACTGCCAAGGCCCCCACTAACCATGTCCTCAGGTGCCACATCCACATGTGTATTAAATCCCTCCAGGGATAGGGACTCCACCCCTACCCTGGGCAGCCCATCAATAATGTGTAACTCTAATAATAATGCATAAAGTCAATTCTTCTTGTAGTAGAGCTTGTTAATTGTATTCAGCCTGAAAGTGCCAGGTAACTGTGCTTCCTTACTCACAGCCATTGTTACTTTGCATGCTGTCAGCTCAGCACATTGTAATTTTATTTTGTATGTACACAACCCTAAGCTCAGCTTCTGCATCAGCATCTCTGGCCTCTTTTTAGTAATGACATCCAATGGACAGTATGTACTGAGAAAGGGAATTGAGTGTGCAATGTCAAAGTATTTCTTCAGAGCTCAGCCTAAAGCCATTGGAGAGGGAAATCTTGTTGAGAAAGGTCAGGACACAAAGCTCTTCTCCTGCTTGAATGACTGCACAATCCAGAAATAAATATTTCTAACCTCTTATAAAACTGCCTGCAATATATTTTTTGTAAAAGCTGTGAAATTTAGTTTTTACCTTTGTGTGTTCTTTTACTCTATTTTAAATTATATGTACAGCAAAAATGCCTCAATAGTCAGCTTTAGTCTATTCTGATGAGTTTTCTATTGATTTGATAATTAGTATAAATTTAGAATCAGCTGTTCAACCATTTGAGTTTCATTTATAGTAGCCATGATTCCAGTGTTACTTTTTGTGGCCACTGCAGACTTCATCAGCTTTTGCATTTTGTTTGTTAATGACAATTTGTAAAACCAGATGGTCATAGTGGGTTTAGCACAGTTACTGGTGACATTTGTATTAACCTCTCACTTCCAGAATCTATTGCCTAAGACTGTCATGACATAGGTATTTTGTATTTTGGATATCCTGCTTTTTTTTTTGTTTTGACCTCATTATGGTTAATGTCACTCCTCTCTTGAAATTAAACTGTGATGGAGTTCCCTGTGACCAGAGGAGGATGTTCCCTGTAGCTAAAGGTCAATACTTCCGGCAGTATAGACCTAGACGCTGCAGAAGGTGTTCATTCCTTTGTGTGTATCTGACGGGTGAAAGAGGACAAGCCCTCCATCCATACCTTTATTCACCTCCCTTAAAATGCATCTTGACTGCTGAGAGCTGGAAAGAGTTGGAGCTGAATGGCTCTAAAAACTCTGCTCTAAGTATCTGCTGTTCATCAGCATACAGTGCTAATGTCTGTTTTTTTCCTTCTGGAAGGCCTTTGTGGGCCCCATATTCTCAGAGAAGCAGTTGATTCCTGGACTGGTCATCCAGTTGGGGCTCTTGTACAACCAGGGGTAC